CAATCATTTTTTTTTTGCCTTGCCTATTCATGCAGATGCAAAAATGCACATTGTCAAGAGACTGTTTGGGTGTATGTTTGGAGAAACGAGCAAACTTTGTCATCCACTTTCAACTCAACAAATGGAATAATCGGCCAATGCACGGGCTGTTCGTGCGAAGATGCGTTTTTTGTATAGTTCCCCCACTTTTTGTTGCTACCGGCATCGATTTTTTCAGCAAATCCTTCTAGCTAAACAAATTAAGACTGGCCGCCAAAACTGGCAGGAAACACCCCCTTAAAATTTCAGCTTCCTAGCTTTCCTGGCTCCTGAGTTAGCAATTTACTGGAAAAAGTACGCGAGTACCACGCTTACCCGGAAGGTGGGTTTGAGCTTATTATTACCTACTTGGAAGGGGAACATTCTCTTAAAATCTCAGCTTTCTAGCTTTTCTGGTTCGCGCAGCTTACTCGTAAAAAAATTTGGCGGGCTCTTACGTAGGTACCACGCGGGAAAGACCGCCCATTTTGGGGATGGAGGCTCGTACGTGCATGAGATTAAGTCCCCAAAGTTTCAGTCCTGTAGCTGTTGTAGGTCTCGAGTTAGAAAATCGTTACAGAGGCCCTGCCCACGTATGGACACACACTCACACAAACATACACACACAAACGCAGACACAGACACAGACACACACAAACACAGACACACACACAGGCAACTTCTCATCAATATGCGTTTTCTCCATTGCACAGCTGCAAAAAACGCATAAAAATTAGGAAGCTGAAATTTCAGGGGTACATCCCCACTGCATGTGTCATCTTCCTATTTTAAAACCAACGCTCAAGCACACATGTACGAATGCCTAGGCCTTATGTACGGGCGCCCAAAAAGAACTGAGTTAACTGAGTGCCGCCTCTATCTGAACTGAATATTCAGTTGCATGGATGCAAGACGAAGGTGAGTTTTAAAGATGTATTTAAAATATTTAAGTTGCACATTGACATAAAATATTCTCGTAACATTTCAACTCCCTAGCTTCTTTGGTTCTTGAGTTGAAGAAGGCCGACAAAATGCGAATAGATACAAACACGCAGGCCTACCAATATGCATTCTTGTGTTTGCATGAATATGCAGAAACGCGTGAAAATGACCTGTTTTAAATAAATGCATGAATGAACCCAGGCTGGAACGCACCGGGCGGGCCCGTGCGATCATGCGTTTTTGCACAGGACTTGAA